ATCTCAACCCTTCTCCTTTGAGAGCAACGCTGATGATAAAATAAAATAATAATAATAATAAAATTTAAAAATGAAAAACAAAGTTGACATTTTGACATTCTTTCCATTTTGCAGGATTCGAACATGACCCATTTTTCCTGTTTGTTTGTTTTGGGTTTTTTTGCGAAATCTTTTAAGTTGAATGTTTCATCAAAAAGGTTCTCAAAATGGAGACTGAAATTTTTCTGTTACTGACAAGTCTGTTTTTGAAAAATGAAAACTTGTAATAAATTCAATGAAAATTCAATGAAAAAATAGCACCTTTTTTTTTTTTTTTTTTTTGGAAAATCAGTGGAGATTTTTGAAAAAAAACAACCAACCACACATGCAAACATTTTTGACCAAAAAAAAGCATTTTTTACAAACTCCCCTACACCTCTTTGTATAGACAAATTGTTACCATCTCTATTTGCTGTCTGGGTCTTGCTATTAAATACCCTATTCCTGGTTTCTACCCTAGTTGTATCGTTCCTTAGAGTCAAGTCATAGCTTCTTATGCTGCCATTGGTCAAGTATGAACAATTCTCTTCTTTCATTTATACCGTTACCTCAATGGTGTTTATTTTTAATCATAAATTATGTTGTTCCTTAAATGCTTCGTTACATGGTAGGAATCTCAGGGAATAATCTTCCCCGGAAGCCAAAATACATAAAAAATATACAGTCGGTGATGTGATAGCAAAGAGAGTATGTTTCTACTATAAGCCGTCAAATATAGACCTAAAACCTGGAGAATTAGACAAAATCTCATAAACTAAAATTAGAAAAAGAAAGAAAACAGGAAAAACGTAATGTGAAAGACACCCCATTAATACAGGCTGAAAAGTGACTTGTGGAATGCCTCTCTGATGGCGAAAGCACCATGAAGACACCTACATAACCTCTTTGTTACTAGGCCCATCATGAACTCCTAACTGGACATGACCTGAACATAGGTTCATAGATTCAAAGGCCAGAAGGGACCATTTTGTTCATCTAGTGTGATCTCCTGTAGAACATGGAACAGGTAATGTCCCCAAAATAATTCCTAGAGCAGATCCTTTAGGAAAACATCCAGTCTTCATTTTAAAATTGTCACTGATGGAGAATCCACCCCTGTCCCTTGGTAACTTGTTCCAATAATTCATGGTGGATTCTGTTCTTACTTCCAACCCAACAGTGTAAATCAGGAGAAGCTGCATGGCACTCAGCAGGTCACACCACTGCCAGTGAGGCCAAAGGCAGAGCCAGAGATCTTTTGCAACAAGTTATGTAAATGGCCCCACAGCATAATTCTCAGGTTCTGCTGCAATATCTAAGCCCTTGCAGGTATTTTTATAGGCTGTAACCCTGTGTCCCTGGAGCCTTCTCCTTTCCAGACTATATTTTTAGCTGCCTTGCTCATTCCTCCTCATACATCTGATCTTCCATACACTGTCTCCTGGGATGTTGGCGGTTTTCTCTTGCTGCCAGGGGATGCGTGTTTCTTTAAATCTGTAGTAGGAACCTGATGGGGCTGGAGAGGGTTTGAGACAGTAGCTCTGCAGAGGGGGTTCAGGAATGATACCGTTTCCTGTAGTCCATTAAAGTTCCTTGTTCCACGCTAGAAGAAAGTGGCTCTCTCTTGTGATTCATTACCACTGTCACATGACACAGAGCAACACCAGCACAAAAGAGCAGCAGAGAAATAGTCAGGGAAGAGGGAAAAACTATCCTGTAGCTCCACAAAGGCACTGGCTGGAGCTGGCCTTATTTTATCCAAGCCCATCCGAGCCCCCCAGCAAGAGATGCTGCCCTGGTCTAGTCCCTGGCATCACAATGGCTCAGTCTTGTATATGCTACATATACCTGGGAATCCTAAGAACAATGCATAGCCATGGAAAACCAGCGGTGGCCCTTGATGAAAACTCTTTTCACTGCAGAACAAGGCACAATTTCCAGCTGTGATACTGAGGTGCACATATAAGGGATGATACAATCTATAGTGACAGGACTGCAAAAGGCATTGATCTGATTATGGGCATTGACTGGTATGGGAAGGGTTTGTAGACAGTGCACAAGACGCCTTATGCAGCGTCTCTGTGACTTCCCCATGGTATTCCTGCCACAGACGCAGCTAGAGTGATGGGACGGGCAACGAGCAAGGAACTCAGAGTTGGACAGGTGCATGCTGCACAGCAGGGAGTGTATGTGTGTGTGCATGGGGGAGGGGGAGTGTTGCATTTATTTAAAAGGGGAAAACTGAATTGCTTTTTAAAAATGGGCAAGGCAGATTATTTGAGGCCCCACATGTACAGAAGAAATTAACTCCTCCCTTGTGTACAGTCACTAACACAGAGCGAGAAGTGCCACTCCTGTTTGAGGGGTTGGTGGGCTCAGCAGTAGCTGCCGGAGAAACCAGCTGCCTTTCTAAATACTTGTGTGACTCAGTGAGGGGAGCATCTGAGTGTCTCCGAAGTACATAAAAATAGAAATAATAATCTCTCCATTTCCTTCCCAGCCCATTGGAGAAACCCTTCCCTGCATCTGTCGCTGCTAGGCGGAAGGGGAGGAGCAAAACACGCATCCCTGACCTCAAGTCTTGGTAGGGCTTTCCCATCCCTCTGTAAAGGCTATGGCCCAGGCGGCATGGGCTGTGACATCATAATGATGAAACCAGTAGGATTCCAGTATGCAAATGATTCCAATGGGACTGACCATGTGTGTTGCATGGCACATAAGCTCGGGATGGGAAATGGGCAAGCGAGAGGAGGCAGGTAGCTGGTGCGGTGGCAGCAAAGCAGCAGTGGTTAAGGAGGGGAGCTAGGAACTGAGCTGAGCACACTTGGCAGAGTGGAGGGAGGGTGTGGGGAGAGACAGGGCCATGGCCATCACGAGCTGATTTGTGCAGGCCGCAGCAGGGGATGGGTTCCAGGTGTCTCCGTGTTGGAGCGTGAGGGAGGGTTGCCACCCAGCAGTCTGAGCGGAGGAAGTGGCACATGCAGGGTGGTACCTGCACATGCAGTGTGTGGCGGAGTGAGGTACACAGGACAGCTGGGCTCGGGGACAGCCCTGAGGTTACGGACCAGAGAAGCAGGTGGGAGGTCAGAGCTGAGAAGGGATCCAGGATGCGTCTGACAGTTCCCAGTCAGCTCCCTGCCAGCCCCCTTGGAGTGCCACTTGTGCCCTCTCCACCCGTGGATTGTGAGGCAATGGAATGCTGTGCTCTGCGCGTCCCACCATGACATGGTCCCAGTTTCTCTCTGAGCACCCATGCTGAGAATCTGGGGGACTCCTGCCATTCTAGCTTGGGCACTGGTGGGCCCTGCCAGCGACAGTGTCGCATGGCCTGGGCATGCCCAAGCAGGTGCTGATGGCACCATGTCCAGGCTGCACTAGCACCGGTGCTGCCAGACCTGCACCAAATCCCACCCATATGGTCCATATAGAGGTGGCCTCCGGAAGGACCTTGACTGTCCAAATGCTCCTCACCACTCCAGAGTGCAATGCAGCCAAGCTGATGTGGTTCAGGACACTAGACGCCCGTGCAGGGCTCCACCCCTTCTGGGCACAGGGGAGGGGCTGATGGATGCCCCAGGACATGGCTCCATGGGCCATTCTCCTCGCCCCAGCCCCGAGGCTGCAGTAGCAGCTACCGAACTGTTCCACAGCCAAAGAGGGCCGAGTCCTCTCCTGGCCCTCCCGGAGCCAAGCCCATCCACATTCATGCTCAGCTTGGGGAATAACCTTCAGCACCCAGGGCACACTGGAGGGAGAGCCAGGATCTGTCAGCCCCTCTCCCTTCTTGTTCTTGTGAATGATAAAGGATGTCCTTAAAAGGATAAAACTCCCTCTGCTAGTCCCCTGTGTGACAATGCGAGAAGGCAGCAGCTGGGCATGGCCATGGTGGGAGAGGCTGGGGAAGCGGAGAGGGAGGAGGGGCGGGAGGGCTGTGGGGAGCTCGGCGTCCAGTTACAAGGCTGTTTCCATACTTAGCCACCTTGCAGCCGCCTGGGATACGCAGCCCCAGCCAGTGTAGCAAAGGGAGACCAAATTAACTCAAGGGCAAGCAAGGGTAATACTGCCCCACGCTTCTGACAGCACCCCAAAGGAGAGAAGCCTGCAGGAAGCAGCCACACACAGCCCAGGAATCCTTGGAGCTGGGCCCCATGGCGGCATGGGGTCACTGCCCTATGCATGAGGGAGAGAGTGGGAGGCCGAGGGGAGGCCCTGAGGAAGTGACTCAAAATGCTGAACTGCATCTACATTTTGCCTGGCACATCTGCAACATCAGGGCAAGGGAACGGAGAGGAACCCCCCCACACCACCACCACGCCCCACTGCAAAATCCAGCCCAGCCTCCCACAGTGCAGCACACACAAAAGATCAGGCGTCGGCTAGCTGCCGTGCTCCTGTGCTGCCTCCCATGGCTGGGACATCCACGGAGTCCCCGACTCCGGAGTGACTCCAGCACAAGGGCAGGCCCAACATAGTGCCCAGCCGCAGCGCAGAAATAACCCACCCGCAGCATCAAAGTCTGCCCTTTGCATGCGACGTGGACACAGAAAAGGAACACACACCCCACACGCCTGCCTGCTGCAGGACGGCCTCGCTGCATCGTGGCGGCTGCCCCCAAAAGGCATGGGGGGGCTGCCCGGGTCAGTTCAACCCAAGATACCCCCGGGGGCCTCCGAGCTCGATGGCTCCCCACAGGGTTCTACTCATGCCCAATAGCCGTGCCCAGTGCTTTCGAAGCAACCGCCCCAGCCCTGTGTGGCTTGCACACCCCGACCATGGGCTGGGGGTACAGTCACTGCCCTGGAGCGGGGGACAGGCCAGACAATCCCCCTGTTGTGCCCACACAGAATGGGGAAGCTGGCAGAGTGGGGCACGGCTAAGGCAAGGGAAGGGCCCCGGAACTGCAGCACACACAGTGCACAACCCCCAACAGTGTCCAGAGGGCCCCGGCCCCCTAGGCAGTGGGGAGCAGAGCCGGGCCTTACCTGCAGCCCCGAGGAGCAGGAGAGACGCCACACAGCAGCACAGCAGCCTCAGTCCCTCCATGGTGGCTGCCAGGAGCTCTCTGCTGCTCGGCACCTCTATTTATACAGCAGCTGGGAGAAGGGGACAGGCCACAGTCACTAGGGCAACTGGGCGGCAGCACAGCCCTGCACAGACAGAGTCTGCCTGACGTGCCCCCTCCCTAGTGTGGGTCTCGGACCCTGGCCCCCTCCCCCGCCCCGTGAGTGTGCTGGAGGATTTTCACGGGGTTACACTCAGCTCTAACTGTCACAAATACCATGAAACAGGGGCTCCTGGTGGTGACAGCACAACTGCAGAGAGAGGGTTATGGGGGTGGGGAGCTGGGGATACTAGTCTCTTCCATACAGCTCCTTATACCGTGTCCATCACCGTAATATCTGAGCTCCTTCAGCAGTGCATAAAACAGGGGGGTGGGGCGTCCCCAGGGCGAGAGCACGGCCGGGGGGGCTGCAGGGCGGGGCGTCCCTGGGCAAGAGCACAGCCAGGGGGGCTGTGGGGCTGGGCGTCCCCGAGGCTGAGAGCATGGCCGGGGGGGGGCTGTGGGGCGGGGTGTCCCCGGTGCGAGAGCACAGCTGGGGGGCTGCGGGGCGGGGCGTCCCTGGGGCTGAGAGCACGGCCAGGGGGTGTAGTGCATTAGCAATCATTCCGCCCCCCCCTGGTTCAGTGGGAGGCCACTCCGCCCCACTATGTCACTGAGGCACCAAGCAGTCTCACGGTACATCTACAGTACGAAATTATTTCGAAATTATTCTATTCGAATTTTCGGAAGCTATTTTATACATTCAATCTTCTGAGTCTCCACTAAAGCACGTGAATTTGGCTGAGTGCATCCACAGTACCAAGGCTAATATCAAATGTCAGAGCAGTGCACTGTGGGTAGCTATCCCACAGTTCCCGCTGTCCCCGCCGCCCATTGGAATTCTGGGTTAAGCTCCCAGTGCATGATGGGGCAAAAACATTTCGCGGGTGTTTCTGGGTGTGCCTCGTCAGAAAGCTATGGCAGACAATCATTTCGAGCCTTTTTGGCGTGCAGAGGCCATACTGCTTTCAGCAGACGGTGCACCGCTGCGCTCCTGCTACTATGAATCCACCTCTCATTTCCTCTCATCTTCCCACGTAATCTCTACTATCTACTCTTCCTCTTCCTCATCGAACGCTTCTGCTGCCAACTCTGCTCGGCCATCGTGAACCGAGCAGCACAGCTTCCACCGCCAACTCTGCCCTCCCGCTATTGCCACCCTTCGAGCTTCTCCATGTTGTCTGTCCTGGGCTCCATCCTCCGTGAAAGCCACAGAAGACAACCATTTTCCGCCGTTGTTCGGCTACCGTGAACTGAACAGCACAGCTTCCGCTGCCACCCTGCTCTCCTATGTTTCGCGCCCTTTTTCCAGGATTACCCATGCAGGCGCCATAGCCATGGAGCCTGATCAGATCTCCACTGCAGTTCTGACCACTGTAAATACCTCGCACATTATCCAGCAGTATGTGCAGTACCTGCAAAACCGGGCGAGGAAGCGACGACAGCGCAATTACTATACTGATGAGGACACGGACACAGACGGCACGGCATGTGGCGATTGGGAGATCATGGTGGTGTTGGGCCAGGTTCATGCCATGGAACGCCGATTCTGGGCCCAGGAAACAAGCACAGACTGGTGGGACCGCATAGTGTTGCGGGTATGGGATGACTCTCAGTGGCTGAGAAACTTTCGTATGCATAGGGCCACTTTCATGGAACTTTGTGACTTGCTGTCCTCTGCCCTGAAGCGCAAAGACACCAAAATGAGAGCAGCCCTCACAACTGAGAAGCGAGTGGCTATAGCCCTGTGGAAGCTTGCAACGCCCGACAGCTACCCGTCAGTCGGGAATCAGTTTGGAGTGGGCAAATCTACTGTGGGGGCTGCTGTGCTGCAAGTAGCCAACGCAATCATTGACCAGCTGCTATCAAGGGTAATGACTTTGGGAAATGTGCAGACCATTGTGGATGGCTTTAATGCGTTGGGGTTCCCTAATTCCGGTGGGGTGATAGACGGAACGCATATCCCTATCTTGGCCCCGGAACACCGGGGCAGCCAGTACATAAACCGAAAGGGGTACTTTTCCATGGTGCTGCAAGCACTGGTGGATCACAAGGGACGTTTCACAGACATCAATGTGGGATGGCCGGGAAAGGTGCATGACGCTCACATCTTCAGGAACTCTGCTCTGTTTGAACAGCTGCAGGAAGGAACTTACTTCCCAGACCAGAAAATTACTGTTGGGGATGTTGAAATGCCTATAGTTATCCTCAGGGACCCAGCCTACCCCTTAATGCCATGGCTCATGAAGCCGTACAGAGGCACCCTGGACAGTAGTAAAGAGCAGTTCAACTATAGGCTGAGCAAGTGCAGAATGGTGGTAGAATGTGCATTTGGACATTTGAAAGCGTGCTGGCGCAGTTTACTGACTCAGTTAGATCTCAGCACAACCAATATTCCCATTGTTATTGCTACTTGTTGTGTGCTCCACAATATCTGTGAGAGTAACAGGGGGAGACGTTTATGGTGGGGTGAAAGGTTGAGGCAACTCACCTGGCAGCCAGTTTCGCACAGCCAGACAACAGGGCGATTAGAAGAGCGCAGCAGGGCGTGCTGCACATCAAAGAAGCTTTGAAAACCAGTTTCATGACTGGCCAGGGTATGGTGTGACAGTTGTGTTTGTTTCTCTTAAAGTTCGCCCCCTATATATAGATGAAAGAAAATAAAGTCACAATTGTTTTAAAAACGTTCTTTATAATTTGTTGCACAAAACATTGAGAGAAATCAGAAGCCAAACGGGGGGAGCAGGGGTATTGGGTTAGGGAGGAGGAGGAAAGGACAAGTCCAGAAACCAAATGAAAATTTAGGATATGCCAGCTTTCTGCTGCTTGTGCAATCCTCGGAGTTGCCTGTGTGGGTCCCCGTAGCCTCCCCCCGCCCGTGTTCTTGGGCGTCTGGGTGCAGAGGCTGTGGAACTTGGGGAGGAGGGAGGGCGGTTATTCAGGGGCTGCAGCGGCAGTCTGTGGTTTTGCTGCCTTTCCCGCATTAGATCCACCATACAGCGGAGCATGTCAGTTTGCTCCTGCATGAGCTTGACCATGCATCCTGCCCGCTCTCATCGTGCACGTCCCTCCTCTCTTCGTATTCATGGAAAGCTTTATGCGACTCCGCAATTGTTTGCCTCCACACATTCAACTGGGCCCTATCAGTGTGGGAGGACTGCATGAGCTCAGCAAACATGTCATCCTGAGTTCATTTTTTCCGCCTTCTAATCTGGACCAGCCTCTGGGACGGAGTAGATAGGGGCCACGTTGAAACATTTGCACCTGCTGTGGGAGGAGAAAAAGGGAGGGTCGTATTTTAAAAGATACATTTTAGAGAACAAAGAGAAAATTCTCAGTGAAACAGGCAATTCATAGTACACAGCACATGTTCTTTCTGTACAAGGTCTCATTTTGCCTCTTATACTGAAGTGCCTGCCGCTTTGCTGTGAGTGAGCCATCACATGCAGCCAGGCAACAGAATTCAGCTTGCAGGCAGCCTGCGGCCTCTCTGGGATGATCGCTTCACACAACCCCCCCCCCCCCACACACACACACACCGCGGGGTTCCGATGAGGCTCTGAGCAGGGATGAGCCCTTTAAACTAAATGCAAACAGCCCGGCCTGGCACGGCTGGGTTTCCAGCCACCCCACACTGCGTGGCTTCGATCAAGCTCTCACTCACCAGAAGTGCCTTCTCCAGGTTCATGGTCCCAGAGCATGCTTTGGGAGTGGGGGGAGGCTATTGGCTCCAGCATTAAGAATAGTTCCTGGCTAGGGGGAAAACAGATTCCCCACTTGCCACCTGTGCACTGTCCTCCTCCTCCTCCTCTTTGTCCTCCAAAAACTCATCCTCCTTGCTCCGTGCTCCTCCCCCCTTGCAGGTGTCCACGGAGAGTGGTGGGGTAGTGGTGTCATCACCCCCCCATAATTGCATGCAGCTCACGGTAGAAGTGGCATGTATGGGGCTGTGACCCAGAGCACCCATTCGCCTCCCTGGCTTTTTGGTATGCTTGCCTGAGCTCCTTGATTTTTGTACGACACTGCTCTGTGTCCCTGGAGTAGCCTCTTTCCGTCATGGCCCTGGAGACTTTAGTGTGCGTATTTGCGTTTCTTATTTTGGAACGTAGTTCTGCCATAACAGATTCGTCTCCCCAATATGCAATGAGATCCAGTATCTCCCGTTCGGGACATGCTGGAGCTCGTCTGCGAATCCAGGACTGCGTGGTCGCCTGTGATGTTGGACTCTGTGTGGTCACCTGTGATGGTGGACTGTGCTGATGGTCACCTGTGCTGATGGTGACCAAACAGGAAATTCAAAAGTTCCCGGGGCTTCTACTGCCTACCTGGCTAGTGCATCGGAGTTCAGAGTGTTGTCCAGAGCAGTCACAAGGGAGCATTCTGGGATAGCTCCCAGAGGCTAATATTGTTGAATTGCGTCCACAGTACCTGTAACCCAGACCTGTGATCTCGATTTTAGCGCGACTCCACTTGCCGAGGTGGAGTACAGAAATCGGAGTAAAGATCCCTTTAAATTGAAAAAACTGGTTTGGTCGTGTGGTCGGAATCAGTTTTATTTCGAGGTAACTAGGCTAATTCTGAAATAACCACGTACTGTAGACCAGGCCTTAGGGAATTAATGCCAGATATCCAGTCCCCTTTAGCAGATCTCCAGTCCCACAGCAGTCTGGTGAGCTCTGGCCCTGTGGCAGGCCAGAGCCCCACAGCCGGTGAACATGTGCCATTCAGTCTACGTTGGAGAGGCTGCCACCACAGGGGTGGAGTTGGCAGCAGGGGGACCAAAGTCTGGTTTCCCTGGACTACTTCTTACCACCATCTGGCCAAGGGGTTCCATAGTCCAAGGTTCCTCTGTCTCATCACGGTATTGGGCTGCCGGCAATCCTAGTCGCTCCGCTCCACTCTTGGCTTTCTCTGGGGTCAGGGTGCTCCACAGCTCGGTGCAGAGCCTA